ATGGGATTAAGTACAACTACTACTCATTTAAGTAATAAATTTCAAATTGAATAAGTTACAAATTTTGGACTGTACAGTTATTCATAATGAAAAATTAAATATCAAAAGTTAATTAAATTAAACATAGGTCCTAGATTCGAATCTTGTGGGGCGGGATCATGGATACGCATTGCTGAGGAGTCCCATACTAAGATGAAATGGCCGTCCAGTGCTTTTAGTTCTAGCTTCAATCGACTCATGAATTCAATAATCTATACAAAACCCCTTTCTGATTATAAACATACTTTATTCAGCATATTGATTATTGTTTCTAAACTGAAATCGATTTAAAAGAAATGTCTTTCATACACTTCAAGCTAATAAGTATATTCTTATTTTAAAACATTTGATCTGATATAGACAAATATTTACTATCACAGATTGAAATCATGAGTCAATTGAAGCTAGACCACCATGGAAAACCTGGAAGCACTGGATGGCCGTTTCATCCTAGTATGGGACTCCTCAGCATTGCTCATTCACGATCCCACCCTCCACAAGATTCGAATCCAGGACCTATTAATCTCGCGCCAGGCGCTTAACCAACTAGACCGCTGAGTGGGACCGTAGATGCGCACAGCTGAGGAGTCCCATACTAGGATGAAACGGCCGTCCAGTGCTTCCAGGTTTTCCATAGCGGTCTAGCTTCAACTGACTCATGATTTCAATCTGTGAAATTTCTAAAATCTCCACTAACCCCTTCTGATAAAATATTTACTATGTTTAAATTGTTTCTGGTTTCATTTATGTTTATGTTTTAAATAAGCTTTATGGTTAAATGATTTTATAGATTTCAAAAGGAGAAATAATTAAAGCGTGTAGAAACAATAATTAATCTCACATCAAATGTTCGGTAAGTAGAATAAATTACTTCAATAGAAGCAGAAGATTCATAGATAAATCCTGATGTTGATAATTGAATTCATAAGTCAGTGTAAGCTAGACCACTATTAAAAACCTGGAATCGCTGAACAGCCGTTTCGTTCTATTATATAATTAGTATGACTCCAAGATGATTTCCTAGAGTTCTTGTGAGAAGTTGTGACCAGTGGAGTTCAATTTTTGTCGTATAGAGACAGGTATCTACCTCTTACAATGGATAGGTGGTTGCTCAGCCATTCATGGATCTATGGAAGTTAGACATTGACATCATTGGATGCCGGCTCAATGGTCTAGAGGTTAAGCGTTCCTGAACAGGTTCATTCGGGTTCAAATCCCGCGTACGAGGTCGTGGACGCCCACTGCTGAAGAGTCCGATTCTGGGAAGAAACGGCTTTCCAGTGCTTCCAGGTTTTCTATGGTGGACTAGTTTATATCGACTCATGAATTCAACTATTTTAGTTACTACATTCTTCACAACCCTCATTCTGATCATAAAATACTGATTTCACAATTTTATGACAATTGTTTAAGATACTCTAGTGCGTAGATTCAGTAAACTCAAGAAATAAAAACATCTTGATCCCAAAAGTGTTATACTAAATGTATTCATATTTTAGTCTAATTATATTCTGATTTTTAGTATACAAAAACAATGTACACCTTCTGTCTTTAAACTAATTGTTGATCTGTTCTAAATACCGCTTACTTTGATTTATACAACCGGACAACATTATCAGTTATTGTTCTGGAGGTAAAATATACCTCAAAGGATAATGAACAAATTTATACTGAATATCTTCGTGAAACTACTGTCGGATATGTCTTAATGGTTAATCCATATTTAATAACAGTCTACAGCTAAAAATTATTAAAAAGAAATAATTCTAGTGTTTCAGCTAGTAGTCTAATCAAAGGATCTACGTGAAGGATTCTACATCTTCCAGAGTTTCACCATCAAAAGTTATTGGATTGCTGTTCTCCGTTTTGAACTCGAGGACCTTGGTTTTCCCTTTGTGTATGCTGAGGCCTACTGATGCAGAGACTGCTGCTACACTGGTCGTCTTTATCTGCATCTGTTCGTGTGTAAGTGATAGGAGGGCTAGGTCATCTGCGAAGTCCAAATCGTCTAATTGATTCTGAGTTGTCCATTGTATTCCGTGTTTTCCCTCAGATGTTGAGGTCTTCATAATCCAGTCGACCACCAGAAGAAAGAGGAAGGGAGAGAGTAAACAGCCTTGTCTGACTCCGGTCCTTACTTGGAATGCATCTGTCAGCTGTCCTCCATACACGACCTTGCATTGTAGTCCGTCGTATGAGTTCCGGATTATACTGACAATCTTCTCAGGAATTCCGTAGTGTCAAAGAAGTTTCCATAATGTCCTCCTATCTACACTGTCGAATGCCTTTTCATAATCAATGAAGTTGATGTATAGTGATGAGTTCCATTCAACTGATTGTTCGACGATGATCCGTAGTATCGCAATTTGATCTGTGCACGACCGATCCTTACGGAATCCAACTTGTTGATCTCGAAGTTGGACGTCTATTGCATCTTTCATCCGGTTCAGCAAAACTCTGTTAAAGACTTTCCCTGGTATTGACAGTAATGTGATGCCTCTGCATTTCTTACATTTGCTCAGATCTCCTTTCTTTGTAATCTTGATGAGGTGTCCTTCTTTCCAGTTCATCGGCACTTGTTCCTCATACATAACATACATAACACAATAGAAAATTTCATTACGTAATATTTCTATTTAATTCAGTTAACTAATTCTGTCATTTGACATTTGATCAGTTAGAACTTAAAAATCTGTTCACTGAATAAATTACCCATTCAATATCTTCAATCATTTCGGTCAATTGACTTTACAATATTCTGTCTTAGCTAGTTTATAATGTTTTATTATGAATTTGAAAGTCGGCTTCATAAATTCTAAATCTTATTATTTACAAGTGACATATTATATCTTTAAATTTACAACACATTTAATTATCGTTCTTTTTTGGGGGGATTGAGATCATGAATCGATCAATGTTAGACTACCATTGAAAACCCGGAAGTACTGAACGGCTGTTTCATTCTAGTATGGGATTCCTCAGCAGTGCATATTCACGATTTTACTAACGGGATTCGGACCCAGGACTTTCAACCACGCGCATGAATGCTTAACATTCAGAACATTGAGCAGGTATCCAACAGTGTTAATGTCTAACTTTAACCAATTCACAAAATTACGCCACCGTTCTCCATTGTCTTCAGTGAGTTACAATCTCATAATGGACCCGATTGAACTTCATCAATCACGGCTTCTCATTCTTCTTGAGTCACATTTTCACCTTATCAGTTATTCGCTTATCAACTTTGACTGTTTTTATATAATCATGTGTGAATGTATTGCTTATGCTATTATTCATCACATATCTGTGATATATTTTTGTCTGAATATAAATATTGAGTGATGCTTGGTTCAATCGAGTTGGCTCACATGCCATCTCCGATTTGTTTCGCTACGTTTCCCTAACTGTATATACATATTCAAAATCTATTCATGGGTTTGACTTATTTTAATCCGGTTATTCAGTAAAACGAGTTCAGTCCATAATAATACATGAGGATTGATGGCATATATGTTTCAATAACAATCATTCATACGATCGAATTGAAGTCGGATTAAGAGCCATTAAAATATCCTTCTTTTAATTGGTTAAATATTCATTATCGACAACTCATTTGATAATAGTTTCTATCATAAACTGATATCATATGAAGAATCACTAAAATCTACAAGACTTATATTCTTTAGACCGTATACTCTATATGATGATATGAGTTATTTTTGAACCCTTTCAACTCATATCAATTAATGACGAGAACCACTTTTGATTTTTAGTGGAGCCCATTATTTTGTCGTTGTTTAGATCGGACAATGTTTGTTGACGGGCTTTTCACTTTAGTGGCCCGTGGATCTGACTCCACGAAGATCGTAATGAATGTTTGTTATTGAAATATATATATATCGCTTGTCCTCGTATATAATCATCGACTTAAATCGCGTTAGTCAATAATGGAATTAAATATGTCGAATAACGAGAATAGACTTGTGAATACATATATATTTTGTATATAAAGCGAATTGGGCAGCATCATTGATGAACAGGGTGGATCTGATGCAGATGTGAAGGCGCGGATCGGCAAAGCAAGAGCAGCATATTTACAACTGAGGAACATCTGGAACTCAAAACAACTGTCAACCAACACCAAGGTCAGGATTTTCAATACAAATGTCAAGACAGTTCTACTGTATGGGGCAGAAACCTGGAGAACTACGAAAGCCATCATCCAGAAAATACAGGTGTTTATCAACAATTGTCTACGCAAAATACTTCAGATCCATTGGCCGGACACTATTAGCAACAACGTACTGTGGGAGAGAACAAACCAGATCCCAGTGGAGGAAGAAATCAGGAAGAAGCGCTGGAAGTGGATAGGACACATATTGAGGAAAGCACCGAACTGCTTCACAAGACAAGCCCTCACATGGAATCCTCAAGGCCAAAGGAGGAGGAAAAGAGGAAGACCAAAGAACACATTACGCTGAGAAATGGAGATAGACATGAGAATAATGAACAAGAATTAGATGGAACTAGAAAAGAAGGCCCATGACAGAGGGGGTTGGAGAATGCTGGTCAGCAGCCTATGCTACATTAGGAGTAACAGGCGTAAGTAAGTAAGTAATATAAAGCGAATGGGATAGAGATAAGAGAAACGACACAGAGTGGAGATGGTTGGTAAGCCAACTCCCTTTTAACCAAGCATTAATCAATAATTATCGTTACACAAAAGTAAGTTACAGACATGTGATGAGTAATAGGATAAGAAATGTACGCACACCTACCGTGCTTATATAAAAACAATCAAGATTGATAAACGAATAAATAACAAGATCAGAATATAACTCAAGTAGAATGAATAGAATGATCTGTCCGAAACCTAGAATAAGGTGATAATATAGGCTTAACATAGTAACATCGACATTACAGATTATTATTCATGCATAAATCAATATGATATTACTTACAATCAAATTTTGATTCAATAAATGATTAGTTTGACTTTTATTCCAATGTATTGATGATTTACATGAAGTACTAAATGGTTGTTGTAATTGATTAGATGGAATCAATGTTTTAGTTGAACCATCTAATTCATATTTATTTACATGAAATTGTTTTAATGAATTTGAATATCTATCTAATAACTTCATATTCTCTTCATTATTATGATTATCATCTATTGTATTTAATGAAACAGTTTCATCATCTGTATTAATTAAACTATTACCATTATCTGAATACATTAGATTCATATTCATATCATCATGATATAGAGTTAAGTGTTGTTTTGATGTATTGAATAATTTATATTTTTGATTAGATAATGATGATCTAATTATTCGAGATTTTGATTGTCCAATTCCAGTTGATGAACCAATATTCCAAATATCCGGTTCATTATTATTATTATGATTATTATTATTATTCTCTAATACATTACATTTTATAGGTGAATGAGTTCTTCTTTGTGGATTCATTATATGACTTGTATTTATTATAGAATTATGAGGTATCTCTGGTAATACTATTCGTTTTGAGTTGAATACATTCAAAGATGATTTTAATTGAGTTTCATTTAGTTGATTTGATCTATAAGATGATAAATATGGATTCAATTGTGATCTAGATTGATTGATTGGATTTTTATTTAATCGATTCATTGATAATATTGTTTCCGGGATCATTTGTATTGATGATTTTGTATATTGAATAGGATTATATGAATTTTGTTGTTTTATCATTGATTTATAATAAGAATGATTACGTTTTTCTGTGTCTAATTTATTTTGAATAATTAATGGTGAATATGATTGTTTAGGTATACAATATGTTTCATTCATAGGTTGATAATTTCTAATTGATTTTTGAATCTGTGGTGGTAGCGGTGGCGGTGGCGGTGGCGGTGGCAGTGGCGGCGGTGATAATACAATTCTTGGCATATTACAATTGAATGCATCATTTTGCCGTTGTTGTTGTTGTTGTTGTTTCGAATGATACAATGTATCATAACGATTTTGTGAATGATTATATGATTTTGAAGTTAGTCTAGTGTTATAATTAAAAAATGGTTCATAATTACAACTTCCTATAATATGTTGTAAGGTTGGATTAGTATTATCACGTATATAGAATGATTTATTTCCTATCCATTGATTAGATGATGATGGTGATGATGATGGTAATGATGATGATGATGGTGATGGTGATGATGATGATGATGATGTATAATTTCCTGACATCATAATAAATATTTCTGTCACCTTGTTTATCTTTCAATTAATCAATCAATTAATCGATCAATCAATCAGTCAAAAAATACTTTTTATAATAATAATAATCGGAGTAATTGAAAAAACAATTCAATATCATTATAGAATTATGCTGATAATGATTGAATAGATTATGAAAAGAAATCATTGATGTCACAATGAATCAGTATGTAAACAGGTGAAGAATATATTCTTTTCATGGTTATTCTTTTTTTGTTTTGTTTTCTGTTCATCTCTTCCCCTCTCTCTCGCGCGCCCTCTTTTTCTCTCTCTCCCAGTGATTACCACAATAACAACAAATAACAATAATTATAGTTGTTTCTAAGAAGAATAACAACAGAACAACATGTCCGCCTTTCATTGAATATTTCTTTCCTTTTGATTTGGTTTATATATATATCTACTTTTGAAGAAAATAGTTTGGCATTTTTCTTAAAATTGAACAAACTAATCGATTAATTTATGAAGGATTCTTTCCGTAGTAATAGTTCATGTAACTCTACTGTGGACAAATATACACAAAACTACACACACACACACATGCACATGAATTTCACTTAAGTACATAAAACATGTCAATATATATATATATGTATATACACATGTAAAATTTAAGACATGATCCATATACAAACTAACAAAATGTAACATATTGTTGTTACCAATCACGGTTACTGTTCAACCTATTTGATTTCCAAATTATTTATTTACTAGACACCTTATAATTTTAAACTAAAATTAGTTCATATGAATGTTTACTTATCCATTTCTTCATTTCATTTCATTTCTTTTTTGATCATTAGTAGGATAGTGGATACTTGCCCCCGAATGCTATGATACGGCCGAGAGTGGAGAAAGTTCGCTCTCTCTTTCTCTCTCTCTCTCTCTCTCGAAATACTCTCACATGGCCACGTGCATATAGCCTCTACCAGGGAAATCCTACTCACTGCGAGGGTGCTGTTTACGATAATGAGAGGATGAAAAGCGAATGTCCGGCGCTTTAACCGGGCCGGTAATTCCATCTAAGGGAGTTGGAAAACCCTGATTCCAAACCGATGGTGCACATGGGCTTTAGTATTCTTAGGGAACAAATGGCGTATGAACCAATTATTGGTCACCGGCTACCATGGGATTTCATCTTCTTAAATTGCTCCACTGACTTGTGGATCAGACCTTTAGGTCGAAGGCTCCAGGTGTGGCCTCCTAAGAAAACCACCTGCTTCGGTCTGAGCACCCGAGCAGTATACCAGCCCTCACACAAATCTAATGAGATGACAAATAAATAAGTAAAGGATACCCACTACTGAAACATCTTATACTAGGATGATATATACAGTTTTTAACGTCTATCTAAGATCAAATAGTACTATAATCTGAAAAACTGTAAGTGTAATTGTCGCTCTAACTTTTCACCAGTTGCATTTCAGATAAATATGTACACAATTAGTATCACATCGTCGAACTAAATGTAGGTGGCTGTTTTGCTACTTCATGTTGGACACAATTTGTGTTAAATTTATTTTTTGTATAGTAAATGGTATGTTGAGACTTCCCTTTAATATCAATTCTCTTCATTATAAATCGATATAACCATTTGTAAATCATGAAACATAGGATCGGAATCAGAAAAGTCATATTTGGTAACTACCTTGATACCAATCAGATTACTGAGTGACAATCTACTTTTAGACTACCATTCACAAACCCACAGGAATGCAGAACCTTCGGTCCCGCACGTGAACGATTAACTTCTAGACGGTGTTAATGTCCGACGTTAATCATTTTACGATATTGCGCAACCATTTCCATTTCCTTCATTGGGTGACTCCCTCACATCCAGCACACTTTAGCTCCAATAGTCACAGCTCATATAGTGACCAAATTGGAAAGACTAAATATCATTTACGATTAATCAAGACGTGTATGTTTATACGAAACATCTAACACATTTCCGTTTGAAGTAATACAATGGAAATGTAGACAACTGTTGTAACTTATATTCCACATCTCTTAACAAAACTTCAACAGTGAGTACAATGTTGAATTTAACCTGTCTTAAATAAATGAATAACATGGAAGTAAAGCAATTTAGTTATGGATCCAGCACTTTCGACTTTAAGTTACATTAATTTTTACCCGTTCAAATTATAGTAGGTGAAATGGGATTCGAACTTACGACTGCAAAGCCAGAAATGGTTATAACTTACAACCAAAATTATTACATAACTGAATAGCATAGTCACAAGTATATTTCTTAAACAATTAAAAAATGATTGTTAAGTACATTTTAATTCTACAACTAACTTTTGCCATCGTTTAGTGAAAGTGTACATTACGGAGTAGTTTTGAATTCCAATTAAGTAACTATCTAATAGACTCAGGTTATTATTGGCACTTCGACTGATATCAGTTCATGATGAAATCAAGTTTCAACTTTCCAAAACATCTTTACAACCTATTTAATATTGTTAGTACTTCATTCTGTAAATAGATTTATTGAATAGTGAATACTGGTTTCTTGTTTAGTATGTTGATGAACGAATGCTTGCAGGTGAGACTAATGATAATAAATATTTTACTACTGAAATAATGGAAAACACAGAATATAATGGACAGCTCAGAATCAATTAGACGATTTAGACTTCGCAGATGACCTACCCCACCTATCCCATACATACGAACAAATGCAGATAAAGAAAACTAATGTAGCAGCAGCCTCTGTATCAGTATGCCTCAACACACACAAGGGAAAAGCAAGATCGTCAAACACAGCACGGAAAACACCAACCAACACAATCACACTTGATAGAGAAACTCTGGAACGGGTGGAAACATTCACTTAACTAGGTAGCACAATCTATGAACGTGGAGGATCTGATGCAATCGTAAAGGTGATGATTGGCAAAGCAAGGGTCGCATTCCCACAAATGAAGAACATATGAAACTCAAAACAACTGTTAATTAATATCAAAGTCACAATCTTCAATACAAATGTCAAGACAGTTCTGCTACACGGAGCTGAAACTTGGAGAACTACAACAACCATCATCAAGAAGGTACAAGTATTTATAAATAGTTGTCTACATAAGATACTCAACATCCATTGACCGGATACCATCTGCACCAGCCATCTGTGGGAGAGGAAAAACCAACTTACAGCTGAAGAGGTAATTAGGAAACGACGTTAGAAGTGGATAGGAAATACATTAGGAAAACCATTAAACTGCATCACGAGGGAAGCCTGAATTTAAAATCCTGAAGGGAAGCGGAAAAATGGAAGATCAAAGAACACACTACGTTGGGAATTGGAATCAGATATGAAAAGGATGGATAACAACTGGAAAGAGGTGGAAAGGATTGCCCAGGACAGGGTTGAATCGAGAGTGTTGGTGGGCGGCCTATCCTTCTCCACGAGGAGTGACATGCGTAAGTAAGTAAGTACGGAAATAATCATCATTTTCACTGCAAACTTAAGGAAATAACATTTTCGTATCGGTATCATAAAAGGTTTATTGTACGTCAATTTAATCTAATCCTCACTAACCATCCTAAGTACATATTTATTTTCTATTTTAGAAATTTTTGGTTTTAAGTCCATAACTGTAAACATCCATGTTGCTAAATGTTTTTCAGTATTTAACCGAATATGTAGCAGCATCCTCAATAACAGTAGGTATTAACATACACAAAGGGAAATCAATATGCACCAATCAAATCACACTTGACGGAAAAATTTGGAAGATGTAAAAACCTTTACATATCTGGGCAGCGTCATTGGTGAACACGGTGGATCTGATGCAGATCTGGAGGCGCAGATCGGCAAACCAAGAGCAGTATATCTACGATTGAAGAACATGTGGAACTCAAAACAACTGTCAACCAACACCAAGGTCAGGATTTTCAATACAAATGTCAAGGCAGTTCTACTTTACGTGGCGGAAACCTGGAGAACTACGAAAACCATCATCCAGAAGATACAGGTGTTTATTAACAGTTGTCTATGCAAGATAATTCGGATCCGTTGGCAGATACTATCAGCAACAAGCTAGTGTGAGAGAGAACAAACCAGATCCCAGTGGAGGAAAAAATCAGGAAGAGGTACTGGAAGTGGATAGGACACACATTGAGGCAAACCCTCACTTGGAATCCCCAAGGTCAAAGAGAAGGAGGAAAACTAAAGAAAACATTACGTTGATAAATGGAGATAGACATGAGAAAAATGAACAAGAATTAGATAGAGAAGGTTGTACAATGCTGGTTGGCGGCCTATTCTCCATTGGAAGTAACAGGCGTTAGTAAGTGAAAACATTTAACAGAATGATCAACCAAATTTACATTTTATGAATAACATTCAATGGTATGAATTCATTTTATTTCTTTAGATTCTCTTCAGTTGCTTACAACTTGTAGTATTCGAAAATTAAAGTAATAACAGATATTGACATTCATAGGTGGTTTGAGATGAATATGTATATCATGATGTAGTGAAGACTTTAATAGAGTTCAATAAGGTCATAGAGAATTTTTATTTCACATAAATAAATAAAGTTTGAGAGGGAAAGTTCAAGAACATTGAACTAGTGATCTGAACTCATAGAGTTACCTAATATTAGATAATTGTGTAATGAAGTAACTGAAGAGAAAAACAAACAGATTAATGGTAATAAAGAGAGATATGAGTTGAAATCAAACTGATGGTATAGCAAGGGGAATTCCGTTAGGCCCTGTACTAGAAAATATTTTCATGGCTAATCTCCAATGAGCTAAGCTCAAGAGATTGATAAAAGTATGTATTACTCGAGGTTTATTGATAATACCTTCATCATATGTAAAAACATGCAGAAAATCTGCTGAAACTTTTCAATGATTGTTTTTGTCCAAAACAACATGTTCCTTAACGCAATCAAAGATCTATAGGTATTCCTTTCATGTTAACAACATCTGTGTATAGAAATTGGTATGTATCTTTCAAAGCAAATACATTGGCAGAACAGAAGGAAGAGCCTACATCCAAAAAGTTTAAGATCGAGCAAACTAAAAGTATTCAGTAGTGCCATATCGATTAATCTTCATGATACAAGACATCAAGTGAAATCTTTCAAGGTGATTAATAAACAATCGAACTCAAGTCTTCTGAAATTTGCCGAAACTACTTCTTGGAGACCATCACTAATGAGCATATGTTAATTCATATCAGAAGGGTTTTTATGGATATTGTAGTAATTTCAATGATTGAGATCATGAGTCAATTGAAGCTAGACCACCATGAAAAACCTGGAGGTACTAGACGGCCGTTTCGCCCTATTGTGCGGTTCCTCAGCAGTGTGTATCCACGATCCCGCCTAGCAAGCTCCGAACCCAGGACCTATTAGTCTCTCGTGCGAGAGCTTCGTAACCAGTTATTTAATTCATATACCTTATTTTATGATGCAAATACGTATGCACACTTAGAAGAACATATTCGTAATCT